AACCAGGATACCAGACAGACTCATGAGTCTCACCAATATGAAGAGCACCAAAAGGAGCATTAGGACCAGTAAAAGGGGATCAAGTAAGCGTTGAATGATCCGGAGAAAAACACAGCTGACAACCCATTGGAGGGGAGCAGACTTGTAGGAGTTATCCATAGATGGAAAAGTTGCACTAATTTTATGAGTAACACAAGTAGGCAAATAATAGTACGACCAATACTGGAACTCAGGTTACACGATACTGAACCTAGGACACCAGTGTATGGAGGGCCACGAGCTACACAAAAGGACTGGCCAGGGGCTACACCATATGTTGGCTAACCTCCATAGGGATGATGATGTTGCTAATAGTATCCACAGCCTCGTCCCCTGCTTCCTCGCGGTCTGCCACCGTGATTCCTGCGGGCACCCAAGCCATGAGAGGGACCGCCACCGCGGGCACCCCCTCGGCCAAAAGATGTAGATGAAGTAGATTGGGCTGCCACAGAGGCTTGGTGCACTAGCAGGGAATTCTGAGTCTCTAAGAATGCATTTCGTTGTTCCTGAGCTAGTAAAATTGGCCTCAACATGTCAAAAGTAGCATTCCCCGGGAAATATGTAATAGTTGTGATGTGGGACTCAAACTCACGGCCCAAACCAAGTATAACATATTCAATCAGATCCCGATTGTTGACCATAGAATTAATAGCCGCCAAAGCATCGGCCATAAGCTTAATTTCCAACAAATATTGATCCAAAGTTTGTGATTCTTTCTTTTTCACATGAGATAATAATCTTTTAAGTTCCGGTGAACAGGCAAGACAGACATGCAGGCATAAACCGTGTCCAAAGACACTCCCAAATAAGATGTGAAAATTTTAAATCATAAACCTCCATTAAAATATCCCTGGAAAGGGTGGCAAATAACCAAGACCTAACTGTTTGATCAAATTTGAGCCAATGATGATAATCATGGTTAGGTGCCTCACGCTTAGCCAAATCACAAACATTAGACGGTGGAATCGGAATGAAGCATCTAGTATCCCAAAAAGACTATGGGATACTAAAAAGGACTCGAACTAAGTACTCCATGGTAAATGGTCCTCAACCGCCGATAATCGTGTAGTAACAATATTAGTCACATTGGGCATAGAAAAAGCTAACTGAGAGGCCAAGGAGGACAAAAAATTACGATGTAGGTGTTGAAAAACTTGGCAAATGTGTCAACTGAACTTGTGGCAGATGGCTCACACCTGGCTAGACGGAAAAAGGTCGGCTCTGAAAAAGGAGACACAACACCGCCGTAGTCGTGGAAGGCGTCTGACGAGCACTTTGTCACGGTGCGTCAAAATAAATTCAATACTAAACACTTATACGTAGTATAGCGTAGTAGAGTTCGTATCCACATGGAAAGGAATAATTCTCTTTTTATGATACTTAGTAAATAAAAGGGGGGATTTGGATTGAGTTATTTAATTTAATTAAGAACTAAGATGAACAACCTATATGTGTTTAATTCAAAGATAAAAAGGACTTGGCATTGCTACTTTCCACTTGTTGATATATTTTAGTCGATCATCGTCATATCTATAACTTATTCCCTCTCGAATACTCAATCGAGGAGTATATTCACTTCATCGAGGGTAGTTATTAACAACGACCGTTCATTAATAACCCTTACTATTAATCAAATATAGAACAACGCCTTATATCGATTTAATAGTAGCATTTAATCTTTCTAACTCCTTGATGAAATCAATTGAGATTGATAACCTCAACACAACGGTTTCGGTTTAACCAACAAAATTAATCCCTCTTAAGTTTATTAACCACGACCGTGCATCAATAAACCGAAGTTACTTACTTATGAAACCATCAACGATTAACCATCGGTTCGTTGATCGTTTCTAGTAATAATTAATATATGAAACAAAACTAGTTGATCCTTTAAGTAATGTTCAAAATATTAATATGAAATATGAGTAGGAATTAATTAATATTCAAGGAAAAATATTATTAAAGAAGATGAATCCTACCATAATTAATATCAAGATGTTAACTAATTGTCATCTTAGCAACACTCCTCAACATTAATATAGAGGAAGAAAATATCATTCTAACTAATGTAGAGATGTTAACTAATTGTCATCTTAGCAACACTCCCCAACATTAATATAGAGATGGTATTAAGGAAAGAACTATTAATTAATATTCAAGGAAAGAAGTTAAGAAAATAACTCACAACTTTAATAATCAACAAGCTTCAAGAGCAACACCAAAAATGGAAGTTTAGCTCCTCATTTGGAGACTAAACATAGCTAGAAAAATATAAAGAAATGCTATTCTAAACTGAGCTAAAGAGTATGGAAGAAGGAATGATTTTTTGTGAAGAAAAAGTGTGCTATTTATAGGTGTTTTTCAACACCTTTGGCCGGGTACCCGACCGGGTTTAGTGCTTACCCGACCGGGGTACCGGTCAAAATCAGATTATCTCCCACGTTTTTGTGTTTCAGCACGTTAAAATGTTCCGGGTCAAGTCAGACCCGACCGGGTCAAGTAGGGGACCCGACCGGGTTTGACTCAAAAATCAGATATTCTTTATTCGGGCGATCCTTGGCACGTTCTGGTGTTCCGGGTCACATCCGACCCGACCGGGTCAAGTAGGGGACCCGACCGGGTCTAGCTATTTTCTCAAGGATCTGGTTCTCAACTCAGACCCGACCGGGTATAGTGCATGACCCGACCGGGTTAGCGCTCCTGGCCATTTTTATCTTCAGCTTTTCTCCTTTTCCTTGCTAAAAACACTACTACTATTCTACAACTATAAATGAAAGCAAAAAAAATTACAAACAACATAAAACAAATGTTTACAAACTAACTAAAGAGGAAAGAAAATCCACACAAAGTTAATACAAAAACATACATTTATGCACTATAAACTAGTGCATATCAGCGTCTGGCACTGTGGACGCGGACCCGGCGTACCAGAAAACAAAGGTGTTGATCCAACATGTTCGTGAACTATCGCCGATATGGACATAGAAGCGGCTGCACTGGCGGTCCATGAAAGAGATGACAGGAGTCAAGCAGAGGCGCCGTGGAGGACCAGGTCGAATTCATGACACTAGAGGATTGTGTAATTGTCTGCGCCGCATAGACTATAGTGGGCGCCAGACTTGTCGACATGGTTGAAGTAGAAAACGTACGGAACAAAATAGGAGAGTGCAGCGGCAAGGTGGGAGCAAGTTGTGTAGACGTCATGGTGGACTGTGATTCCATGGATGTGAGCGTTGCAGAAGATTGGCTGCCGATGTAGAAGATCAGAGGGGTTGTCCATACCTGCATAACCCTAAGCAAGTTATACCATATGCGAAAATATAATTTTGGGAATGAATGACTTACCCTATTGTTTATAATAAAATAGAGTTATGGTAAGTACACGGTACTCCCTAAATAATACATAGTACATTATTAATAATAACTTTAAAAACCTAGAATTTTATCATCTTATCCGTGAGGAGTGTATCGACCACCAGACTTTGCCGCAACTGATCAAGAAATACATAACATAGCCTAAATCAAACAAATCGATTGTACGTCTCTAAATAACTACTCAATATAGTTTTTCAAACAAAATCTTATTTCTTAAAAATCTCTTCAAATTGTGTGGCGAACATACTACCACCAATCTTTAAAGACTTTTTAAAGAATAAAAATGTCAACATGTAGGGCGTATGCCTACTGCGAGGTTACTGCGAGGTTACCGGGCATTCACTTGGTTTCGGAGACTCTGGCTTGCTTTAGAGCAAGATAGGGTGTCTGGCTTTTGGGAGCCGTTCGATCAAAAATTCAACGATTGAAGATCTCGAAGTCCACATCTTGAGGGCTTCCTTCTTTCCATATGTTCATCAATTGCCGAAAGGCACTATGCCGCGCGTCAGAAGATCTAAATCCCATTCACTGAGACATTGTCTCTTTCTTAGGGTCAGTTTTCTTAGAGGCTCATCGCCACAACCTGTGCTCGCTACCCCAAGAAACTTCACGAAGCCATTTCCCCTGCTCTGCAACCTCATGCCCCCTGCAAAATAAACAATTTGTAGTCGGATGTCCACAGTCGGACGGTGATTTAATTTCCCAAAGTCGTCATCACAGGTTACCTAATCTGATATCATCACCGTCAGACGATGTTGTTATCCCACATCGGAAATCTTTAAAACAATTACACATTATATTAAGATTTTGGGCTACTCTTCCTATCAAGTTGACCTTTACGATGGAAACTCAGATCTTAACATGGTATCATAGCCATATTAATCTATAAGCATGTGTCTAACCGTGAGAATGGGTGTTGTTCTCACACCCCGGATATCTTTGAAACACTAAAGCACTATATTAAGATCTTGGTTGCCAAATTGGTCAACGCTTTCCGCCAGATCGATAAAACTTGGATGGAACCCATTTCTGTCACAATTGCAGTTATTCATGTAGCTTATTGCCATCAGCGGAAAAAGTCCTATCGGAAAAGAGGCAGGGTCCAAGTCATCGATTAAGAAGCAAAAGAAAAGAATGGAAGAGTGGGATGGTGACTGTGTACATAGAAGCAAAACTACAACCTAGTTTTATCACCCTAAAATATGAAAGTTTCATTTTTTTCATTCTTTTATATAGAGTATTTCAAACTTAGCACACTATTTAATACGGAGTACAAGGGAGAAAGTGTTAGTAATTTACTTTACGTTCATTTTATTTTATTTTATGTAAAGGTTACAACAGCCTCAAGGATAACCCAATCACTCTATTTGCGATTTCTAAATCATTTTTCTGTCTAAAAATTTACATTTTCCACTTTTTTGCCTAAAGCAAAAAAACTAATTGATGCAATAAATAAGATTTTCTTTGTGATTGGAGAAAATTAGATTCATAGAACTCGAGCATTATTGTCTCCATTTCATCGGATTGGTCTTGATTATGCAAGAGAATTATGGGACAATTATTATATTAATTAAATTAGAAGTAGAAAGACAATTTTTAGTCCTATTTATAGAAAATCAATTAAACACATGATTATGTTTCCGGTAAACTACTATGTTTTTGTTCATCTTATCTATAAGAAGAGGAATAAAAATGCAACGTAACAGATCCAAACAGAAACTTTAAAATTGAAATTCCTCATAATCAAGTAGCGTCTAGGTGAAAGCCCCGGCCGGATGATGAACTAAGTTGTCTTAACGGTAGTTACAGATTTGATTAGCATGGAAACGATGTCGGGAGAGACCTTAGAGGCTGTTTCCTTCAACTTCTCAATCTTCGTTTCTGTTTCTGCTTCTAGCCGCTTCACAATTGAGCCTGAGCTTCCACTACTCTGCAAAATTAATTAATCCATCCAAAATACTTAAAAGCAATTAATTAATCCATCCAAAATACTTGAAAGCTAATTAGGCACTGAGCCTCAAATTAGTTACGATTATCACTTAACCCATACTTTTATTCCCAAATTCAGTGTTTGCTTTGTATTAATCTCTTAATTTTGTTTGTATTAGTTTTTCTATATGAAATATTTTCATGTCTTAAAATAAATATAAAAATCAATATTGAAAAAGATTAGCCACTCTGATATTTTATGGGGTGTTTGGCAAACTCTTTGGATTGATTTCATCTGTTTGCTGTGCCAAACCATCATTTTTAGTGTTTGATAAAAAAGTATTTTTATTTGGTCAACGTTTTAATCTTTAAGAGCCTAATTTACCCATGAATTATACGTCATTCATTAATTATTTAATAATTATTCGAAAATAACTTTTTTATGGAAATCATTCAAAAGCTACAATATTAATTAAAATACAGTAAAAATAATAAAGACATTGTAATAATAATAATAATAATAACATTAACATTAATAATAATAATAATAACAATAAGAAGAAGAAGAAGAAGAAGAAGAAGAAGAAGAAGAAGAAGAAGAAGAAGAAGAAGAAGAAGAAGAAGAAGAAGAAGAAGAAGAAGAAGAAGAAGAAGAAGAAGAAGAAGAAGAAGAAGAAGAAGAAGAAGAAGAAGAAGAAGAAGAAGAAGAAGAAGAAGAAGAAGAAGAAGAAGAAGAAGAAGAAGAAGAAGAAGAAGAGGAAGAGGAAGAGGAAGAGGAAGAGGAAGAGGAAGAGGAAGAAGAAGAAGAAGAGGAAGAGGAAGAAGAGGAAGAAGAAGAAGAAGAAGAGGAAGAAGAAGAAGAGGAAGAAGAAGAAGAGGAAGAAGAAGAAGAGGAAGAAGAAGAGGAAGAAGAAGAGGAAGAAGAAGAAGAAGAAGAAATATGGATATCCTTGTTATGTTAAAATATTATTTTAAAATCTACAAAAATAATCACATTTAAAACATTAATACTAAAAAGAAATGAGTATATGTGTGTGCATGTGTGTATTAAAACTGATAGTAGTAGTAGTAGTTATACGGCGTATAATATAAAAGTAAATATGATTTTAATATTGTTTCCAAATTTTATCAAAAAAAAGTATAAAGTTAAGTTGACATATGTGTTTTTTATTCATATCATTAATGATCATTATACGTCTTAATACACAATTAATCGTAATTAGTTAAGGTATCAAGCATTTGCTTCAATTCAAACGGTTAAAGAAAGTAGTTGGTCAAAACAAGTAACATAATCTGGTGATATTAATTTATTGATTGAATCAACTGTCAGCTAATAATCAATCACTCGTTGTCAAGCACTCATATAGTGACAATTGCCGTCAGAAAAGAGTATAACTCAATCTAAATGAACGCCCTCTTAGCTAGGGATGTAAACGAATCAAATAATTTATGCTCGATTCGGGATGTAAATATATTTATGTATGGTAATCATAAAATTGATTCACTTTAGTATATTGTGCACAACCTAAAAATGCATTGATCCGTTAAATTTTAAAGAAAAATGAAATGTCACAAATTAAATTCTAAAAACGCATATTCAGTCATAGCATGCATTTATAACATAAGAAATATAGGAAAAATTGTTTTAAAGTGATATTTGACTAATATTTAACATAAGAAGTATATAATTCGTTAACTATTCGTATTGTTAAACAAATACGAATACAAATCGAAATTAATATTCGTTTTATATTCGAAATCGAAAAAATTAAACAAACACAAATACAAAATCACATTATTCAACTCGATTCGGTTCGTTTACAACCCTACTTTTAGCTTTAAATGTACTCATCATTGTAGTTTACTAAAAGCACATTGTTCATATATACTTAGTATTACAGAAGTGATGGAGTATATAGACTCGAACCCCCGGGTCTCACGACTATTGGGCCCGGACAGCGGCCCACACACGCTTATCAGATGTCTTTTGTATTATTGTACTGTTCATATATCATCTGTATGTATTAGATTAGTCTTTTATGTAGTTGGGCCTATCGAGCCCATATTAGCAGCCCGATCCATTATTTCTCTATTTATACTCCTTTTGGAGTCACTTTAGCTCAAATCTATCCATTTATTACATAGTTTGGATACCTATAATCCATCAAGAACTTTTAATTAACAAAAGCAAAGAGTACTTCAATTAGCCTACTTGAAGGTCAAGTTCATATATAAACTCATTTATAAATGAGAACTTTTAATCTCCATGTTTCATATTTCAAATCAAAGGTTAGAATCAACAATCTGATCGACACTTTTGTAATAATATTATAATACAAAGGACCACTTTTGGGGTTTGAATAATTGCATAAAGGACCTCATGTGCTTCCTAATCAATGATTGAATAAAATGAAAGATTGTGATTAAAAGTTAAGGTATTCTCATTATAAGATAAGTTCTATTAGAATTCTCCTCCCTTTGTTTTAACATATAAAGGTTTTGTTTACACAAGGATAGGCTGGATAGTAATCAATGTTAACAATTAAAAGGTTTTATTTATATAGGGATGGTAACCAATAGTCACACTAGCTTATAATGTTTATACTTTTTATATCAACATTAGATTTAGATTAGATGATTTTTTGTACAAGATCGATTTGGGAATAATTTGTTATGCAACTGTTCAATGTATGGAAATGAAATTAACTAACCTCACAGATTTGTCTTTGGTATTCAGCTTCTAATTGAGCCCTATAGTCTGCCACTTCCTTATCTGCTTCTTCATGAGCCTGCCTTAGACGCGCCATTTTAACTGAACAAAACATAAAACTAAAAGTTTCAAATGAGGAACTTATCCTTTTCTTTTATTTTGTACGTTTACTCGTAATTGGGTGCATAATGGTTTAAAAGGGTGATTTATGGTATATGTGCCTTAGAGAACTGATTTATGATTTCTGGGGTTTGCCCCTTGGCACATGTAATTATATTTTAGCCTCTTAATATATTGTATCTTCCATCAGAAAATAACTTTCTAATTGTTCGATTGATATCTTTTAATGTTTTTACTCTAACTAAAACTTTCAACTTAAGTTTGAGTTGTTCTAGTCTTTATTTGTTTAAAGCTAGTCTCGTCTGGATTGATTTGCTTGAGTTTGGCATCATATGATTTGATTTGATATTATACTTCATATGTATTATACTATATCTAAATCTTGTGTGGCCTATTTTGATTTAAGTGCATTTTTATATTACAAATCTGATTTGATCTAGTCTAATATGATATCCTTTCAATTGATCCAAAAAAACTTAACAAACTTCCGTTTTGTTTAATTAAAAATAACAATTTATTAACATCTCAATATCTTTTTCCTCACGCAAAATGCCAATGGAAAATTCTTGTTGTACACGTCAAATCCATTTACGCTTCATACACGCCATATGTGAATGTATTTTGTTGTCTGTGGATACACAGTTCATAGACAAAACATATTTTGTTTGTGAACAAATGTATTCACAGAAAAAAAATATCTTCAGAGACGGCGTGTATGGATCAGGAAAGGTATGAATTTGGGTGCATACAAATAGTTTTTTGAATCTCAACAACAAGTAGACAGTAAGAATATTACCATTCCTGGCAGATGCAATGATTTGTTGGGCCTCTTGCTCCGCAGTTAGCAGCATCTGAATTCCTCCTTGTGCTTTATTAATTGTATCCATTTTGTTGGACGTTTTTACCTTCCTCAAAAGATCTCTTGAGATCTACAACTTAAGTATAGAAAACATTTTTCTTAACTAATTACCAAAACAATCCAACGGATAGCTATGTTTAATATTTATTATTTTGATGTATGAGCAATGTCAACTGTACTGGATCTTTTTTAATCTAGGACGCTTATACAAAATTTGTGTAGTCATGATTATTTAAATATACATTGAAATAATATTATATGTTCCATCCTAACAGGTCAATTGATATGAAGGATATCCTTGAATCTTGTATACTACTTGTGTTGTGATAAAAGAAACCACAAGCCTTATCGCCTTACTACAATAATAGGGCCAATTAAGCTCCAATGAGCTATCCATATGCCAAAAACTCAAGAGTACACATACTTCAAAATTCTAGTTCTAAGCTGAAGGCTCAACATATCAAAAGATCATACCGCCTAGACGTCTCAATATAAATATGTACTCCCTCAAATCCTAAATAAACTTCATACTTTCCTTTTTGGGTAGATCTAAAATAAACTTTACACTTCTATTTTTGGCAACTTTTTAATATAAAGTTACTCTTATTTATTATCTACTTTACACCTACTTTCTCTCTCTCACTACATCTAATCTAATCTAATCTACTTTTTGTAAGGTGTGATAGGAAAGTGAAAAGCAAAAATTCCACTTTATTAATAACCGTAAAGTAAAACTATGAATTTTTTAGGGCCAGAGGGAGTATTAATCAACATAAGAACTTTTGAGTTTTCTTTTCACTAGGCTTTAGTAGTAAGTCTAATACTCAAATACTCCGTACATCATACCGTGCCAACCTACATACGGGTTGAGATCCTCTACCGTGCGGCAAAGGTGCCTTGCAGCAACGGGCGGATGAGGAAGAAGGTGCCTCGAGATGTGGTCCTCCAAAATCTTCCGCCTTTAGATTTTTCGATCGGACGACCCTAATAAGTCGGGCACCCTACCTTGCTGCAAAGCAAGGCAGAGGTTCTGGATCCCCAACCTACCACTGACCGGGAACATTGTACCTAAGTCTCTAACGCTCTAAAGAGTCAAATCAGGAGGAATAACAAAATTATTTCTCAGATAGAATGTTCATTTTTCATAAAAGAAATAATTAATTTGTTCATTAAATGATAGTAAAGGAACAAGTGAATAAATAACCTAAGACTGTAATGGGATAAGTCATAGACGAAAATGATCTGTAATGTAATCTAGTCTAACAACTTTGCTGCTCTTCTTGCTAGTCCAGAGAAAAACTAAAAAATTACAAATACAAGATCCAATTTCACCGGCCACCGGAAAGGGACAATTGGGTTGACCAACAACTAACAAAGAAAATTCAAACGAATAGAAATTGATTGAATCATTGATTTGACAATCACAAAAAAGAAGATCCAGTTGAGTACTAACTACTGCTCAGAGCGAGACAATGGTTCAGGAGGAAGGTGATTAGTTGAAGCTTCAGAAGAACTAGGTTGAACTCGTCTTGTAATCATAAGTAATGAAGATTCACCTCTCGATCGGTTACACCAACGAGAAACACGCAATTTCTATACATTGCTAAAAGAACATATTTCACGCCCACTTGAAGCCGATATAACTCTCGACCAAAGAATAAATAATCAGACCAAAATTAGAAACCAAGAAGGTAAAAGAAAGCGACAACATAAGAAAAACTTTTGATTCATTACTATCAAAGAATGTCACCATCGACTTTTATCAATCAGAAAGAAGAAAGCTAGGATATCATATGGTTTAGTAGGATCTTTTAGGGGCTTACCACGTAGGTTTCCTAAGGTGGCTATTGCCTCTCGCTTAGTAGAAATGTTTTTTACCGTAGTAGTAAGTCTGCATTAAGAGGTTATAAAAAAGATATAGAATGTTCGTTATTAACTCAAAAAACAAATATTGAAAATCGAGATCCTACATTTTAGACCCAAATGTGATATGGTCTATAGACTAGAGTGTACCTTTAAAAAATAGTGGATACCAACCTGTTTATACATGAATTTGTTACTTCTAGTCTAGTTATATATGTCCCGTACATTCAATAACGCCTTATAACTATTTATATTTCCACATAATTGAGAAGATAACTAAAACAATCGATTTTAATACATTGCATTAAGCAATCACATCCAAGCCCAAAGTAAGGAAAAATATATTTAATCATTCCGCATATAAGGTGCATGCTTAAATGATAGATTATTTACCTGTTTGGATGAAGTGATTGTTGAATGAAAAGATTAAGGAAGTATATCTATATGTATGTATGCCTCTATGGCTCATGTATGCTTGAATAATAGATGGGGGTAAATGATAGATTATTTACCTGTTTGGATGGATCGACGGGAGAACACCGGAGACAATGAAGTGATTGTTGAATGAAAAGATTAAGGAAGTATATCTATATGTATGTATGCCTCTATGGCTCATGTATGCTTGAATAATAGATGGGGGTAAATGATAGATTATTTACCTGTTTGGATGGATCGACGGGAGAACACCGGAGACAATGAAGTGATTGTTGAATGAAAAGATTAAGGAAGTATATCTATATGTATGTATGCCTCTATGGCTCATGTATGCTTGAATAATAGATGGGGGTAAATGATAGATTATTTACCTGTTTGGATGGATCGACGGGAGAACACCGGAGACAATGAAGTGATTGTTGAATGAAAAGATTAAGGAAGTATATCTATATGTATGTATGCCTCTATGGCTCATGTATTGCGAAAATGTTTTAAGTTTGGATCCTATTCAATAGGGCAACGAAAGCATGGACCAAGTTTTTGTTGTTGAAAGAGCCAAGCTTTTTTGTTGAAAAATGAAATGAGATAAATATGAACCAAAAATAAAAACATGAAGAAAAATAATTATAGGTAATTCCTTATATACGAGTAAAACATGATAAAAAGAAAAAAATAGAACTAGTTGTACAGTGTTCCTAAAATAAGAGTTTTTTGTTGGACAAGACTACCCCTACACCTATTACCAATGCCAATTGTCCTGCTATAGTACCGGCTGCCGGAGCTCCGATGACTACCAAAAAAATCTAGAATTGCTCCTTTGCCGTTCGTTGCCGACCTACAGCCATCGCCCGTCAGAGCTCCGGCAACCCAAAGATTTGTTCCACCATCAGGATGCAAATGGCCTTCACCGGAGCTCTGCCGTCGGCCGCCGCCACCAGACTGTCCTACCATCTATAGACTGACCCGCCACCTACAGACTAACATTTCAATAACGGATTGACCCGGTTGAAAATTAGGGGAACAAATAATTAATTAAAATATGAGTGTTAAGGGTAGAAAATTCATGGTTGCTCCTATTTAGAGAATATTAGGGGTGAACTTTTGTTTAGGGAAAGTTGTTATGTTTTACTTCTATTTAGATCAATTACTTTTCTTAATACTTATTCAAATTTCATTGTAGTAAACTAGTTTTGTAGAGGCTCTAACTAAAATAATGTTCTATTTTACAGAGGTTATTGTGATCATAGTTTTGGTTCAATTCCAAATGAAATCAATTCAAACCAAATTAAATCGAACAAGATTTAAACAAATCAAATTAGACAAATCAACCCAAAAAAAAAATGTAACAAAAAACATCCTAAATTTGTACTCCCTTTGTTCCGTAATCAACTTCCTAGTTTGACTTCACGAATATTTAGGTAGAATTAAAAACAATGTTGACTTTCCAAAATTGCCTTTACTTTATTAAATGGGGGTGCTCGCCGAAAATAAAGGGGAAGGGGTAAAGGAATAGTAAAATGGGGTAATAAACATCCATTCCCTAATAAAAGTCATCAAGTATCACATCAATGAGGCTCCATTCGTACAACACATCTCCCAATTAATAAAAAGGTTTAAAGTTCCCTCCCAAAACAATTGAGATTTCCCCCTTTTACAAATGTTACCCCCTTTCTATAAATAGGGCTGAGCAAAACCGACCCTACCCGAAGAACCCGACCGGGTGAACCCGATTTTTTATTGGGTTGGTTAACCCGACCCGAACCCACGAACCGACCCGCCAACCCGTTTCCTTTTGGACCGACACCCAGCGGGTAGGGTCCTCCTAATCCCTATCCGAACCGCCCGAAAACCCGACCTAGCCTAAGCCCACTTCCCCGGTTCCCCCAAGGCCCCAACTCCCCAAGCCCATTAAGCCATTACTCATAACCCATAACTCAAAATAACCCCACTCCCTTTCTCTTTTCCCTTCGCCGGTTAACCCTAACTTACACAGTTACACTCTCAGACTCTCTCTCTAACTCTCTAAGCGGTCAACCCTAATTTACACTCTATCATCTGACTTCTCACTTCCTCAACCTAGTGGAAGCCTTCATCTCCTTGTATGGTTTACCGTCTCTAACATAGTGGAAGCCTTCATCTCTTTGTAGCCCAGCGTGACTGCGTGAGTACTTGAGACTTGAGAGTTGAGACCGATTCCCAATCATTCTTCTTCGAGTCGTTAAGGTATAAAATACTTAAACTGTTAAAAATGTTCGTATTATGGTAAGTTTAGTCCTTGCTGATGCATGGATGTTCTGAGTTGTGATTAGTCATGTGATGTTCGTATATTTGTGAAAGTTGCATGTTAAGTTCATCACACTTGATTTCTGAGTTCAGTCATGTACAGATCTGTTCGAATGTTCGGTTATCCAGTTGTCCCTATTAATTGTTGATGTATATTACTATATTTGTATATATGTACAACTCTTATGATGCATTCAGAATTTCAAATCTGTTTATTTGAAATATGAATGAAGTGTGGAAGCTATATATTCTATATTCATGTGTTGCCAACTGACTGCTGTGGAGATGTGGTTGTGACTTTTTATATGAGTCTAGATCTGTACATTTTGTGATGTATTTGTATACACCTATAAGTCCAACTCTGTGTTACTCTGTATACTTTGAGATGTGTCATGTGGAAGCTTAGTATACACCTATCAATATATCATGTGTTGTTTGTCATGTTGTTTGTTGTACATAAGAAACATAATTGCCTTATTATTTTGATGAAGAAGCCTTTTTCAACTATAGTACTCAAACGAGTACAAAGAGTGAACTGGGTTCTTCAGAGTCTGTATAGAAGTGAAAAAGCAAAGTGCTTTTATCCTTTTGTAAATCAGCTTGTTGATTGTTCCAGACTTACATATTATGGTTATTATTTGTGAGATATGAATTCTGTGGAAGCTCTTACTGACTGCATATGTACAACTCTTATTCATGTGTTGCCTACTTGCCTACTGAGTACTGGCTACTGTGGAGATGTGGTTGTGATGTATTTATATGCACCTATACACCTATACAGGTTGTCATGTACATAAACTATGTGGAATTTTAGTATACACCTATTAATATATCATGTGTTGCTTAGTTGCTTACATAATTGCCTTCTGATTAATTTGAACAACCGTTTTTGTACTCTAGTACTCAAAGGAGTACAAAGAGTGAATTGGGTTCTTCAGAGTCTGTAAGGAAGTGAAAAAGCAGAGTGCTTTTATCCTTCTGTAAATCAGCTTGCTGATTGTTCCAGACTTACACTATTACATATTATCTGTGTGGTATTAAGTATTAACAATGTGGAAGCTTAGTATACACCTATCAATATATCATTCATGGAGTATATGGGTCTGAGCCCTAGGACCCACATACTCAGAAGAACAGAAAGCATAAGACACTGAGTTGTGCCCTCGTCGGCCAAGGGACCCCCGTCGGCCGGAAAGGTACCAACTCAGAATATGGTCCTGAAGCCAAGGAACCCGGGTGCCCTCGTCGGCCGTGCCCTCGTCGGCCGTGCCCTCGTCGGCCATGCCCTCATCGGCCGTGCCCTCATCGGCCATGCCCTCGTCGGCCACGAAGACCTCACAGAACCGGATTTTACACTTACTCATTTGTACAGCCCATTAGTGGCTTTGTATTCGGCCCAGTAGCGGTCCAGTTGTAGATGGGCCTTCCAAGCCCAAGGCTTGGGAGCCCAGCCCGTATTTTCTCTATAAATACTCCCCTTGGGAGTAGTTATAGGGGTTACAAATTCATTCTATTGAAGCATATTATTGCACTTCTCTCTCTAGCTCTCAGTTCTCTCTAGATATACACCTATCATTTGGTGCTCTCGTTGAGAGCTAGAACAATCAAGTTAGCACCCTTCGTCGCTACCAAGCACAGCTAACCACTGATCATGGGGAGAACTAAATCAAACCGCAACCTCGTCGGCAAGGCCATCCCTGAGGACCAAGAGGCCAGGGAGCATGAGGAGGATGCCACGGCCGACCAGGTCGGCGGAGGGGACGTCTTCAAGGAGGCCTTCAACCTCACGACGGACCTCCGCAATCAACTCAACGGCGGAGCCCCTGATGCCCACATCGGCTTGGACAAGAAACGAGCTGAGAAGACGGACCACGCCCCGGCCCAGCCTATGGCCGCGGCCTCTTCGTCCGTGGATCCACAGGTCCAGGCCGCGCTGTCGGTCATCATCGCCAGCCTGGCCCAAAACCCCACCGTCCTCAGCGCACTTTTGCCAAGGACCGGGGGGAACGTCACTCCACCTCCTCAGCCCCAACCGTTGGCCGTCCAGATAGGCAACGATGAGGGGGTGGTGGCCCAGGACACGGCGTCGTCCCACTCCCACCCCGCTTCCCCTCTTCGGCCTGGGCAGACCCCAGCGCGTGGAAAAGCCTCTGCCTTCAACAGGCTAGGTGACACGCGCCGTCGTCTGGTTTCCGAGAGGATGGCAGGGCGTATTGGTGAGCGTCGGCCTGGCTCGCCGAGGGAAAGCTTGGGGTCTGTGTCCCGGACAGCGGACCAGCCCCGCCCGGACAAGGGCAAGGGGAAGCTGCACGAGGACGACGTGCGCCACCAGATTAATGCGGCTCACGACGAGCGCATGAGGAACCAGCCGGGCGCCGCTGCGGCCGCCAGGGACCCCCGGGACGAGGTCATCGCCCAGCTAGAAAGGAGGCTGGCTCAGATGGAGGCCAAGCAGTCGGCCAATATCCCTACGGCCGGCGCCTCCAACGACCCCGACCTCAACGCGCTCATGAACAAAGTCAGCGCCCTGGAGAGGGAGTTGGTCGAGGGGCGAGGTGACCCCATCATCCAGGTCAGGACCAGGACCCCTTTCACCAACAGGGTCCTCTCAGCCCCCATCCCGGAGAAGTACAGGGGAAACGCCATCAAGTCCTACGACGGCCGATCAGACCCCAGGAACACTTCAGCCGCTATCAGAACAACATGCTGATGGTGAACGCGTCAGACGAATACCTCTCCCGTTGGTTCCTCTCTACTCTCGAGGGGCCGGCGTACGAGTGGTTCAACGCGCTTCCCGAAGGGAGCATCGACTCATGGCAGGATCTTGCCCAACGCTTCCTCACCCACTTTGCTGGGAGGAAGCGGGCGAAGAAGTATTTCACCCACCTCCTCTCCGTCAAGCAACAGCATGATGAGTCACTCCGGTCATTCTTTGATCGGTGGACGAGGGAGACCGAAGAAGTCGAGGGGGCCGATGAGCGCACCCTCCTCGCCTTGTATCAGGGAGCCCTCCGCAGCTCCCCGTACGCTAGGAGCCTCATCACGAACCCTCCGAGGTCGTACGCCAAGGCGCTCCAGCGTGGAGGCTTGTACGCCGACGCCGACGAGCTCCACAATCACAAGAAAGAGGGGGGCCATCCCTCCAAGAAGACAAATCCTTCGCCGGCCCCGGGTCCGTCCCCGGCCGGCCAGGGTGCCCAGGGCCGTCACGGCTCTGGTGGACAGAGTAAGAAAGATCGCCA